GTTTTTATCATTGTATTTTGTAAGTTAATATTAATTAGTAAGCTAAAAGTTAGCATTAGTAGTAAAGGAATACCATTTAAGAGCTCGGTTGTGGTCTTCTTGGTCTTGATGTGGTGGTCAAAGAACTCCTGCAGGTTCTCTCTCGCTCCTCGAAGAGCACTCTCTGCCTTGCTGCTCTTGATGAACTCAATCAATGCTTCCCCTGATTTCGCAAGGTCATCATCATGCATCGCATCGTTCTGTGCCATGTCTGCATTAATAATGCTTCTGCAGAAAAATGCAGCACATACTGAGGTGAAGCTGTATGCCACGACAGAACATTTTTTCATTTAGCAGATACTTTCACCAAAAGCGACTTACAAATGAGGAACAACGCAAGCAATATGTCATAGTTAACAAGTTTCACAGTAAAAAAAGAAAAAAGATTAGTAAACAAGCTAAAGCAGTGGTGAAATACTTTAAAGAAATATAAATATTACTGAAAAAAGGATATGTAGTGAGTTATAATCAATGCATTTTAACTGTAAGTCAAACCAGAAATATGAAGGCGAACTCAATCAATGCTTCCCCTGATTTCGCAAGGTCATCATCATGCATCGCATCGTTCTGTGCCATGTCTGCATTAATAATGCTTCTGCAGAAAAATGCAGCACATACTGAGGTGAAGCTGTATGCCACGACAGAACATTTTTTCATTTAGCAGATACTTTCACCAAAAGCGACTTACAAATGAGGAACAACGCAAGCAATATGTCATAGTTAACAAGTTTCACAGAAAAAAAAGAAAAAAGATTAGTAAACAAGCTAAAGCAGTGGTGAAATACTTTAAAGAAATATAAATATTACTGAAAAAAAAGGATATTTATGTAGTGAGTTATAATCAATGCATTTTAACTGGAAGTCAAACCAGAAATATGAAGGCTACTTTTTATTTAACAGTTTTGCTGTATTATATGTTAGATATTATTCAGTGCTCGACAAGATTTATTTTTAACCAACAATAAGAGTTCTTGCCAACATTTTCACTGGCACCAAATTACAAATTTGTATTTTCAGCAATGCTTTTTCCCCCCCAGAAATATTTATATTTTTCATTAAATGTCTCATTCATCTACAGCTATAATATACCTGCATACATGGCAAACAATGCAAATGGTTGGTTTGAAGTTTGCAACACATTCTTCATGACGCTTTATTAGGACACATTCAACAAAACCTCTTTTGAAACAAAAATAACTGCGAATCAGTAGCTCTATTAGCTGTTAAAGTATATAGTATAGTATGAAAGGTGTATAACTAATATTAAAATTAGAGACTGTTGTTTAGTAAACATCAACATGATCTCAAAAAAAAAAAAAAACTGCCTAAACACAACCACACAATAACGCATCCACAAATACATGATTTATGGATTTAGTCAATGTGGCGCTTTAGGACTCTTCCAAATAACACTTATTAATACAATATACAATATAATGGTTTATTGTAATATATTTAAGAGCAAATAGTCTCACCCGCTCCACGCGCTGTTTATCCGGATTTCAAACTGGCGGCTGCTTGGCGCGCTTTCCAGAAACGCGCCTGAATAAAAACCAGCTTCAGTACTTCAAGCTTTTGTTTTCTCTCCATCGTGATCATTGTTTGAATACATTAAATTATATAAAATCCAGAATGTGCTCTTCACAACTAGTCGAGGTTATTTTAAATAGACGCTAGAATTACTGTCAGGCAACTATCTGAGACACCTAAACCGCGCTTGTCAAAAGTCCAAACCAAAGCAAAGGCCCAAAGCGATGCAAGCAAAGCCACTAGAAGGCTTTAATAATAATAATAATAATTATAAAGCTTTAATTAAGAAGTAATACATGAACATTAAATGTAAGATTAAATGCCACTTAATCGGAAATATCTTTATTGTATTGAAAAGAACACGTTTTCTCTATGAATCATAAGTTGTAGTGATTATATGCCTGCAATTTAAAATTTAGGTAATAAAATCTTTGGATTTGTTCTATTTTAAAAGAGAATCTGGCGTAACTCCATCAAAACCCAGTAACTAATTCTGACAACTATAATGTAATGTTTTCCATTTCCTAGAGCAGAGCGCTCAACACACAATATGAAAAGTCATGTGAAAAAAGTGTCTTTATTTCTACTACAACTATTCTTTTTAATTTTTTAGGAACATAGATAAAATCCATTCGTGACACCGATGAACCAGAAACTTTCAAGATTCAAGCAAGGTATTAAAATGAGAAAGCTTATTATTTCATGGTTTCTGGTCCCTCGTGAAAAAAATACAATAAAATTCAATATGCCAAACACAAACTCAAAATGGTTTACTTTCAGCATGACGGTTTGCTCTTTTTCTGCTGCTTTTCCTTTTTCTCCCGCTCTTTTCTCTTCTGTCTGTACAGCTCTCTAAAGTGGAGTCTCTTTGGATTCAGCCCGTAGGCTTGGAGTCTCTGTCGGCTGAACTCTCTTCCAGCCATCTTCACCGTCATGGACCTGGAAAGTAGGCGTCCGCCCCTGTGCCTCATTTTCTTTTTAAGCCATTGAGGTTTTTCAGTCCTTTCCTTGGCCACCTCCTCATTCGGGGTTACAGCAGTCTCTTCCAGCTTCTTCTTTTTCTTAGGAACCAGGAACTCCTCATCATCCTCCCCTTCATCCTGTACAGCGACTTCTTTGAGGTCCTGGACGTCTGTTTGGTCTATGCCGTCAACTACAGGGCTTTCAGATGTATCTTCTGACAGATCTTGCTTCTCCATCTTGACCTCAGACCTCTTTAGACGATCCCTTCGCTTCTTACCCACCTTCCCCTTGGGCTCCATCAGCTCTTCCTGACCTTCGTCCCTGTGTAAAGAAGCCAAGCTCGGTTTTCGTTTGTATGAGGTTCATGTTAAAGAGCTTGTGTGTCATGATTATGGTGTTTAAAGGAACACTTACTCATTATACAAAGACACAAACACTTGCTGTTTCTTCTTGTTATTCCGTGCTTTGATCTGGAAGTTCTTCACGTCACATAGCTCCTCCCTCTCTGACCTAAACAAGGAGAAATGTAGCAAAACTCATCAAAAACCTATTCCAAGCCAGTGAAAAAATGTATTTATTTAGCTAAAGTTATTTTCCCAGATAATATCATTAAACGGTATCACTATATATTCTGAAACTTCACTATAGCTCCAGGCTAACTCATATCAATCACAAAAACTACTGTGTGGTACCTGTACATGCAGGTCTTCCTCAGTGAGCACCAGCGGTTCAACTCACTTTCATCTGCTTTCAGGATCTAAAGAGGTTCAGTTGAGAATAACAAGGAAATATTAGCTAGATGATTTCAGAAAGTATTTTTTTTCTAAATAAGATACTAATAAATAAATCGGAGAAGAATATATAATAGATTATTTTTATCAAATCATGCAAAATTCTAGGGACGCACAAAGTGTGGCTAATAATACAACTAATAATTATTTTCATACTACTACGTTTGGGGTCAGTATGTTTTTTTTTTTGAAAGAAGTCTCTTATGCTCACTAAGGACTTATTTGATCAAATATACATTAAAAACTGTAATATTGTGAAATATTCTTACAATTTAAAAGAAAGGTTAATATATTTTGCAATATCATTTATTCCCGTTATGTTAAAGCTGAATTTTCAGCATTATTACTCGTCTTCAAAGTCACATGATCCTTCAGAAATCATTCTATGCTGATGTGCTGCTCAAGAGACATTTTTGATTATCAATGTTGAAAACAGTTGCGCTGCTTAATATTTCTGTGAAAACTAATAATTTTTTTTCCAGAATTCTTTGTTGAATAGAAAGTTCAAAAGAACAGCATTTATTTGAAATGTAAATCTTTTGTAACATTATAAATGTCTTGACTGTCACTTTCGATCAATTTAATGCATCCTTGCTGAATAATAATTAAAAAAAAATCTTATTGACCCCAAACTTTTAAATGGTAGTTTATAAATATATATAAAATAATAATGCAACACAGTAATTCTTACTAAATTAATACTAATAATAAAAGTAAGTAGGTTTTGGCAACATCAACTGACTGATATGCATTACAAAAATAAAATATTAGCAGATATGGTCCTTATATACTTGGCATAAACCTCCAGCTTGACCACTGAAAGATTTACTTAAAATGCCAGAGTAGACATGAAGCTCAAACATACTAAACACAGCTCTCAAATCCTCTATGATCTAAATGCGAGACATTCAGTGCAGATCTGCTCAGAGAGAAGATTTCTGTCCTCAGACCCTGGTCAGAGTTATTCCCGGAGGAACAGCAATACCAGGTCAGACACAATCACTCATCAGCACAGAACTCAGAGTTAATCATCATCCAGACACGTTACTGCTGCTCGTAGCTCCTCACCTCATCAGCGGTCAGACCGAAGTCATTCTGTACAACTTCTCTATAGCGAAATCTGCATGGCAAGTCATCAATGATGTCCTCATAATCCAGTTTATAGTACTCGTCCAAATACTGCTCAAAGGTTTTCTCCTCTGGAAACATGATTGGTAATCAATGTATAAACCATTGATTATACATGAATACAGAAGTTTAAATTTTCATTTTGTCTGACCAATGACAGACAATGGCAGTGTCCTGTCTAAAAATACACCTAACACTCACTTGGATCAAAAACTGGCTTGTTTTTGGTGATGATCTCTGCAAAGTGGGACTTCTTCCTCTTCTTTCCCATTAGAGGGGCATCCTCTTTGGTCTTCTTTTTCCTCTGCTCTCTCTCTTTCTTTCTCTTCTTTTTAGAAACGGGCTGTTGACTTGGGTCATAGTCAGCATCCATCTACCCAAGAGATTTCAGGTGAGATTAAGAGCAGACACCATATACAGGGAACACAGTAGTTCAGTGCTGCATTTGTTTTGTGCATTAAGTATGAGAAACGGTCTTACTATAAAGTCAGGATCTCCAAAATTGGGCTCATAGTCTTCCTCTGCAGCATAATCTTCCTCATCTCCATACTCGTCCTCATTTTCCTCCTTTCCGACCCATGTGTCCCAGTTCCAGTTTTCTACAAAACATTCCATATTCAAATCACAAAAAAGCTTACAAAACTTTGGGATCAGTAGGATGTTTTTGAAAGAAGTCTCTTATGCTGACCAAGGCTGCATTTACTTGATCAAAAATATAGTAAAAACAGTTAAAAATAACTGTTTTTTAAAGGGGTCATAGGATGCCCATTTTCCACAAGTTGATATGATTCTTTAGGGTCTTAATGAAAAGTCT